AATATTATATTCACTCTAGTGTTGTGGAAAATGATTCGAGTAGGCGTCGTTACGGGCGTCAGTTGTGGATTTCGGTAGTGACAGCGATGATTCGATTCAAGCGCCTTCGGCGAGTGATCATGCGTTGCCTAGTAGTGAAGTTGAGGCGATGGTCGAAGAGGAGGAGGAAGATGATATTGTGCCGAGTGATGTTGAGATTGATACGAGGAGGCAAAAGAAAAATAAGCCAATTAATTTGGACTTAGTTAATTTTGATAGTGCATTGACGGAAGAGCAATTGCATTCTATTCGTCGTTTATCTGGAGCGCCAAGTAATGTTGAGTTGTTGTTGCCTCAGAAGGGCGACCGTTTGTACTCGCAACCCAATGGGTTTCATACGGTATTTTTGGCGTACTTGACGTGTACATCTCAGATTACACCGCATCCGACCTTGTTGAAGGTTTGCGAGGAATTCAAGATAGGGTATAGTCAGCTAACTCCTACTGCTGTGCTGATGTTCGAGGCGTTTCACTATAGAGTGGTTCGAGTAGGTCTGCCTGTGACTGTGAGTTTGTTCAAGGCGTTATTTACGTTACATCGGCCCACTAAGATGCCTTTCTTTTGTTTTCATCCTCGCGTTCCCTACCAATTCGTGAAGAGTGTGAAGTTATCCTTGGGGGAATGGAAGACCCATTTTTTTTATGTGACGGCTCCCACTTTTGACGTTCCCGTAGTTTGGAACCCTACGTGGGAGAGTTTCAAGATAAGTGCGAATATGGCGAAGAGGATTGAGGAGTCTGGGTTGTGTGATGTGGAATTTGACCCGAGGGGTTTGATACCAAAGGCGAAGGGTCAGCACCATATATCCTTTGAGTGATTTTTTTTTTTTTTTTGGTTGTCCTTTGGTTGTATATACTTCATGTCTCTTATGTGTTTGTTATCTTTTGTAGATGGGGGTATCACTTTTGCGGCACTTCGAGTTAAGGCGAATGGGACGTCGAATAAGGCATCGAAGAAGGTTCCCGCTACGTTGGGAGGTTCTTCGGGTGGTTTGCCTCGTGAGACGGCCCCTGTAGAAACTCGTCGAGTGATCGAAGATGACCGTAGCAGTGCTGGTGAAGTGGATGGGCGTCCACTTACGAGAGACCGTGGCCAGGGAAAGAGGGTAGATACCGAGTATGTGGCTGTGCCTAAGCGTCCACGGGTAGACCCTGAGGAGACGTATGCTTTCCATGGTGGGGGGGGGAACAATTATTTACCTATGGCGTGAATCGTGAAGGTAAGGAGTCGTATTGGGATGTGTCGGACCATGATTTGCCGATGTTGAGTACCGAGGGGTTCGTTCGGGAGTATGACCTTGCTCGTATGTCTGGTAAGGGCCCTCCTCACATGTTGGAGTTAGCTGGTGGGGACCTTTGCCAGGTGAGTACTTGTTTATTGAAAACAAGATTTTATGTTTACTTCCTCTCTTTTTTGTGTTAAAAATTATTTCTACTTTTTTTTTTAGTTGGTATCGACTTGGAGATATCTCATGGAGCACGGTAGGAACGTGGAAGCTAGGAAGGAAGAGGAGCGGGCTCGAAGTCAGGCGTGTGAGGACGAACTTCTAAGCCAATTGGAGATAGCGCGGTCCGATCTTGCTCAACGGTCGGAAGAACTTGCCCAGAGGACAGTGGAGCTTGCTCAGAGGACATAGGAGCTCGAGGTTATCCAAGGTGATGCGAAGGCATATAAGGATGATGTTCATAAGTTGAACGAGTGCTATGACCAGCTCAAAGAGAAATACGAAGTTGAGAAGGCGACGGGGAAGAGGTTCCTCGCGACGTTAGGTGGTGCGGCTTATAGGGACTCCATCGTGGAGGAAACCAAGCTTAGCTTCCGAGGTAGTGATGAGTGTGCTGCTATGATTGAGGAGCATGTGTTGGCTGTGGTCTATAAGCCATTAGTTCGTGCTTGTCGCAAATATCTTCGCGATGCGGGTGGTATTAGTGAGAAGGTTATTCGCGGGATGGAGGCTGGTATAACCGATGAAGAGGAGGATGAGGTCGATGTCAACGGAACGGGAACAGAGCTCGTGGATGACATGGTTGCTGATGACCCCACTGTGGGAGCGTCTTCCGCCCGTGGTGGGGGAGTTTAGATATTTTTGCTAGGATAGTTAAACTCTTTTTTATTTATTATTGGTATGGATTTCTTAATTTATCTTTATCGCTGATGTAGATGGGTATGTCCACTACTGTTTCGTTTGAATTTCTTCCTTGTTTGACATTTGAAGTTTTGATATTTAGTTATTTATTTTGACATTGTCAAGATTTTTTGCGTCGCTTATGCGTATTAACATTTAGCGTTGTACGCGATGTACTTGAGGAGGGGATCAGTCTCCTAAGGTTTTTGTTAAGGGTCGTGCCCTTTGTTTGGACCACTTGGGTCTAAAATATATTTGTCCGTGGCCACGTTTTAAAAGTAGCACCTCGTGAAACAGCTAAAGGGACTTATATAATCCAGCTGGCCAGGCTATACGGATTATCTAAATCTCTCTAAGTATTTGTAAGGTTATTGAATTGAACTCATGGTAATAGGTGATTCGTGTAGATGTAACATCACAAAGAGTAAAGCAAAAATAAATTTGATTAATTCAATGGTAGCAAAAGTGCATTGATACAAGCCTATGTGAGGCGAATGTGAATAAATAGCTAATGCGATAGGCCTACGCGAGGCGAAGGTAAATAAATACTGCCAAAACAAATAAATTGATGATAAAAATTCTTGTAAGTGATTGTATTACACTTGTTCTTCTTCCACGTCTTCCTTGTACTCGTTCGTTTCACTGTGGTGATGGTAGATTGATTTTTTTTGGCGTCTCTATGCCTGTCAAGTATAATTGAGAAAAAGAGAATTTGTTTAAACACTTGTATTGAGGATTTAGTAATTGAAGCTGTGGTGATGTGTGTTGCACTTTCACGTACCCTACTACGGGGGTTGGTTTTTCTTTCTCGCACTCTGAGATATGAAATCAACTCGTGAGTTGCTGCGAGTTGCTATGCGATCATGCCTGCTAGTGGAATTATTTTTTCACGTTAGTAAGAGTAAATAAAATCATCCGTGTGTTGAATTCTAGTGGAAGTATAGTTACCCTTGGCGATGTGGTGTGGAGTGTCTTCGTTCTTTGGACCATTGATTGAGTAATATACATCCTCTCGTAGTAGGTTCTCAACCTATAAAAAGACGATGGGATGTGATTTTGAATTTCTGATGTAAGTAAAAATTATTAGCCCCCCAGTTTAGGTGGGACGTTCACGCACCTCGTTATGTAGTAGAAAGTTTCCAAAGCGTGTAGAGACAGTTTTACGAGACGAGTGACGTGGAAGACCGCGGAGCCTGCAGGGGTAATGATTTGTGAGTAATTTTCATATAGGAGGGGTATAGGTGGTGACTTCAACGGATCTTAATTTAGGTAGATGTATACCTTAAGCGTAGAACCGTTTGAGGCTCCCTATATTCCACATTCTAGGTATAGGGCGTCCGTCATTGGTCTCGAGGCGATATGCTCCAGTGTTGACCACTTTGGTGATTTTATATGGTCCTTCCCACTTTGGATCGAGTTTTCCGATGAGGTGAGAAGCTTCGACTTTTCGGAGGACTAAATCTCCAACTTGAAAGGATCGAGGGCGGACCTTTGAGTTATAGGCCTTGGCCATGCGTGATTTATACATCTGTTGTCGGATGTATGCAACCTCACGTAGCTCATCTACGAGGTCTAGGCTTCCCCGCATAGCTTCTTCATTAGCTGCTGGATCATAGTTGGTGATTCGCCAAGATGGTTCTCCGATTTCGACGGGTGCGATAGCCTCTGTTCCGAAAGCTAGGTTGAAGGGCGACTCTCCGGTTGCTGCTCGAGGGGTTGTGCGATAAGCCCATAGTGCGTTAGGCAATTCTTCCACCCACTTCCCTTTGGCACTTCCAAGCCTTGTTTTAAGGTGTTGGAGTATGGTGCGATTCGTGACCTCCGTCTGGCCGTTAGCTTGTGGATTGGCTACGGATGTGAAGAACTGTTTGATGTCCAAGCCGAGGCACCAATTCTTTACTTTGTCACCGCAAAATTGGGTTCCATTGTCTGAGATAATGGAACGTGGGATTCCAAAGCGACACACGATGTTCTTCCATAGGAATTGGATGACTTCTTCTTCTCGAATACGTGCTAAGGGTTCAGCTTCCACCCATTTGGTGAAGTAATCCACTGCAACAATGAGGAATTCGCACCCTCCCGTGGCGGGTGGGAATGGTCCAACTAAATCCATTCCCCATTGGGCGAAAGGGATGGGGCTGTCAATTGGTTGCATTAATGCTGCTGGCAGGTGAGGAATATTGGCATTCTCTTGGCAAGGCTTACACACCTCCGGACTAATCTCTTTGCGTCCTCCTGCATCGTTGGCCAGTAGTAACCTTGCCTCAGTAGTTTAAGAGCTAAGGTTCTCCCGCTCAAGTGATTTCCGCAGATACCTTCATGTACTTCTCTAAGTACGTAATTCGCTGTGGTCAGGTCGAGGCACTTGAGATAGGGGAATGAGAAACCTCGTTTGTACAGTTCTTCTCCCACTATAATGAAGCGGGCGGCTCTTGTTTTTAACTTCCGTGCTTCAGTGGGATCCGTTGGAAGTTCCCCCTTCTTGAGATACTTCAGGATTGGAGTGAACCAGCATGGTTCATCCTCCTCGGTGTACTGTACTTCACTAGGTGAAGTTATCTCCGGCTGAGGTGAGGTGAGGAGCGTCACCTTCCGACTTCCGATGCTGGCCATGGAGCTTCCCAGCCTAGCTAATTTGTCAGCATGGATGTTATTGGAGCGAGGTACTTGTCTTATCTCGTAGCTCTCGAATTTAGATAAGAGAGTGTGCGCGAGAGCTAAGTATTTGGCCATGGTGTCTTCTTTAGCCTCGTAAGCTCCGAGTACTTGGTTGACGACGAGCTGAGAGTCACTTTGGATTAGGAGCTTACGGGCTCCGGCAACTAGGGCGAGGCGGATTCCGGCTATCAGTGCTTCATATTCAGCAACATTGTTCGAGGCTGTGAATTCGAATCGTTGAGCATACTCGAATTCGTCTCCGTCGGGGTTCGTTAGTACGATGCCCGCTCCACGTCCTGTGGTAGTGGAAGATCCATCGACGCTGACGGACCAAGTAGGTAAAGAGTTGCTTTCTTCTATTGATGTCATTTCGACTAGAAAGTCAGCCAATACTTGCGCTTTGATAGCTGGGCGGGGTTTGAATTCCACTCCATATTCACTTAGCTCTATCGCCCATTTTGCTAATCGCCCGGATGTTTCGGGACTCCTTAGTATTTGTTTCAACGGATAATTGGTGAGAACCACCACTTGATGTGACTGGAAGTAAGGTCGAAGCTTCCGGGCTGCATTGATGAGGGCGAGGGCGAGTTTCTCCGTATTGGAATAGCACTGCTCGGCTCCTTGAAGAGCGCGACTTATGTAGTATATGGGTTGGTGACCTTTTCCTCCATCTCGGATGAGGACTGCGCTGATGGCATCGGATGAGGTAGCTAGGTATAGTAGGAGGGTGTCTCCGGGCTGAGGTTTTGTGAGCACGGGTAGGGATGCGATATATGACTTTAGCTCAGTGAAGGCTTTTTGACATGCCTCATCCCACTCGAACTTTTTTCCTCCCCTTAAAATCTTGTAGAATGGGAGAGCTTTGTCTGCTGACCTAGAAATGAACCTATTCAGAGATGCCAAACAGCCATTAAGCTGTTGGACTTTCTTGATGGATGTTGGTGGAGCCATTGAGGTGATCGCTTCGATTTTAGCAGGATTAGCTTCGATTCCCCGCTGTGAGATCATATATCCTACCTCCCCGAACTCCGAACGAACATTTGAGGGGGTTGAGTTTCATCTTATATCTCGTAAGGTGGTGAAACATTGATCCAAATCGGTTAAGTGGTCTGATACCTTGACACTTTTGATGAGCATGTCGTCGATGTACACTTCCATATTTTTACCGATCTGATCTGCGAACATTGTGTTCACTAGACGTTGGTAGGTGTCTCCTGCGTTTTTTAACCCGAAGGGCATGACTTGATAGCAGTAGATGCCTTGGTCAGTGATGAAACTAGCCCTCTCTTGATCTTCTGGCGCAAGTAAGATCTGTTTATACCCTTGGTATGCATCGAGGAAGCTGAGGAGCTCGCACCCCGAGGTCGAATCGATGAGTTGATCGATTCTAGGTAGAGGAAATGGGTCCTTAGGACAAGCTTTGTTGAGGTCAGTGAAGTCTAAGCATAATCTCCACTTACCACCCGGCTTGGGAACGAGTACTACGTTCGACAGCCATTCAGGATACTGAACTGGTCGTATGTGGCCCGCTTCAAGGAGTTTTGCCACTTCCGCTTTGATATGCTTGTTGCGTTCGGGACCAAATGTCCGTTTCCTTTGTTTGACTGGCTTCAACCTTTTGTCGACGTTGAGCCGATGCAGAGCTACCTGAGGAGGAATGCCCAACAAATTTTGGACTTTCCATGCGAACACATCTCTAGTGTGCCGCAGGAAGTTGATTAGCTGCCGCTCCGTGGTTGGATCTAGATTGGATCCTATTCGTATGAGCTTGGAAGTATCTTCGGGAGTGAGCTCTATGAGCTTAAGCTCTTCAACAGCTGCTAGCTTGATGCTGTCATCTGGTACACTGATAAGGATTTCTTTATTATCCTCAATGATCGCGTTGACCCACTTCCGTTTGTCGGATTTTTGGGTGTCATCTCCCCTTCCGGACGGTTTAGGCTTCTTGGAAGGTTCTCGTAGGGCCATTGCATAGCACTCTCGGGCGAGACGTCTATCTCCAAGTACTTCCCCCATTCCTTCGGGAGTAGGGAATTTCCACTTCTGATGGTAGGAGGAAGGTACTGATTTGAATGTATGGATTACTGGCCTCCCTAGGATGATGTTGTAGGGGGATGGCTTGTCGACGACGAGGAATTTGATTAGCTTGGTGATTCGATAAGGGTCTTCCCCTAAAGAGACGGGCAGCTCCACTTCTCCCATGGACAAAATGCCCTCTCCTGTGAATCCTTTCAGGGGCGTGGAGATGGGACTAAACCGGGCATTATCTATGTCCAGCTGCTTAAAAGCGTGGAGGTACATGATGTCAGCTGAGCTCCCCACGTCCACTAATATCTTCTTAATAATTAAGAAGTTGGCCACCGTTGTTGTTACTACCAACGCATCGACATGATCTTCATCTGGGCCTTCAAGGTCTGAGGAGTTGAAGACTATGCTATGATCAGGTCTTCGTATTTGATAGATACGTGCGGATGGAGAAGCACGTCCTTGATTCATACATGCTGATCGAGCGAGGGTGCGTCTTGCATTTTGTGAATCGCCACCTGCCGGTCCTCCGGAGATAAAGGAGATGATGCCCCGGGTAGGTTGGTTGTCATTGTTATCTGGGTCTCGTCGATGACCCCCCTCCTCTCGTCGTTGCTGTTGATCTCGATTGTTATCTCGGTGTGGAAGATCATCACGGCGCTTATTTCGAGACTTATCAATGTATTTGCCTAAGTGGCCTTGCTTGATCAACCTCTCAATCGCCACTTTGAGTTGTGCACTTTCCTCGGTAGTATGTCCTCTATCCTTATGGAATCGACAATAGCGATCCGACTTTTCTCGCTTTGCATTTGGCTGCATAGGACGTGGAGGCTCTGCTAAACCTTTCTGTTCTATGACGTGAAGGATTTCAGTGAGGCGAGTGTTTAGCGGAGTGAATCTGTTGTAGGAGGAAGATGGTTGACCTTGAGGTGGAAGTGGTGGACGTCGATCATCCCGCCTCCTATTGTCTTGACGGTCATCTTCCCTTTTCCTTTTAGGAGGAGCATGGGTAGAGGCTTCCTCTATCCGGACGTATTTTTCGGCTCGATTCAGCAACTCCTCTAGGTTGCCTGGGGGTCTTCCAGCGATAGATTCTTTGAATCTACCCGGTTTCAAGTTCTGCTGCATAATCCCGGAGAGCATGTCTTGCCCCACACTGGGAATTTCATGGACGGCTTCTACAAAATGCTTGATGTAGTTGCGGAGCGTTTCGTTATCTCTCTGTACTACAGAGAAAAGGTGAGCTGGGGTCTTGGCATACTGCTTGTTGATGGCGAATTGGTTTGTGAACCGAGTTGACAGCCGAGCGAAGGTGTCAATCGACCCTATGGGTAGAGAGTTGAACCAATTCATTGCTCTCTTGGAGGGAGTGGTGCGGAACATTTTTCACATCGCAGCATCCGTCGGGCTATATAAATCCGCCATGGCGCTGAATTTCTCTATATCCTCCTGTGGGTCGGTGGTCCCTTCAAATTGAGGTAATCCCGAGATCTTTACTCCTTGAGGTACTACCTCGTTGAGGATGTCTATGGTGAAGGGACTGCGTCTTATTGGGACGGGCATTCTTTCACCCATTGGATTATTTGGTTGGGGGAAAAGATTTTGGCGAGACATTATGTTGTTTACCTCGCCTTCTTCCTCATTAAAGAGGGGGAGTCTCTGTGGTGACGCATTCCCCCGTGGGGGTGAGCGCTGACGCTGCTGTCTGGGCTGTGCCCCTCTGTGATTAGTGGATAGCTGCACTCCGGACCGTGGGTCCGAGATGGAGGAGGAGACACTTATTTGATTCTGGATTGGCGGTGGGGCCATAGGTGGCACTATAGGTGGAGCTGGTGCTGGTATCGCATTGGGGTGTAAATCATCAAATTTGAGTTGAACTGAGTTTCAAGGAATTCGGAGTAATCTTGATATATATAAAAAAGAGTTTTCCTTATTTGCAAATAAGTTTCAATGAGCTGGAAATATTTGAAAGACAAAAATGTTGAATGTCTTTTCTTTAGTTAAGTGTCCTTGTCATGTGCCTCTTTGACATTAACCCTATTTATAATGGACCCTAAGAACAAAGCAAACTCAATTTATCAATTTGGATCAAATAAGTTTTGACGATTTCGATCTTCAAAGTTGAAGATAAGATTTACTAATTTATTATATGGATATAAAAAAAAACTGTGACTTTTTTGTTCGTTAACGTAAATTTATTGAAGTCAATCAAAGGGATATTAGATAATTTTCATAGTTTATGTTGATATTTTAATGATTTTAATAGTTCATGAGAGGTATTTGATTCATTAAATATACTTGCAAAATATATTTACCGTGGTCTATTTGAAATTTGAAGATATCAAAATCCTTCCTTATTTTAAATTACATATTCTAGTCAATGTAGGATTATTATTTTATATGTATATATATACACACACAGTATATCGAACCTACATGCTCTATCTCTAGCAAATAACTCTTTTTAATTTTTACTTTTTATATAAACTTATTTCATCTTTAATTACTTTTTGTATTTTTAAGTACTAAATGTATGAATGTTACTATCAATGTAAATGGTCACAAGTTTGTTTAATAAGTTTACGAATTAAATGTTGGTCATGTTTAAATACTACCCCGACCTTAATGCATAGTGGTAATTGATTTAATCGTAAGGTTGAGAATGACACAATGAATAATTTAGGTACATTCGCAAGGTCAATAAACTAGAGAGGTTTTTAGGAATTGTATATAAATATTTACAACTTCGTGACAACTCTCTAATATTTCTACAATATTCATATCCAAAACAGGGTCTATTATGTCTTTTACCATAATTTCTAGTGAAGACCTTTTTGGCCAAGTACTATAAAATTTTATCCAAAATAGACCGATCCTGACACCTTAGTATCCTTTCATTTCGTAATATTTAAAGTAGAGTTAATCACAAAAAGGCTCATGATAAGGGCACTTAATTAAAAGAGTGACATCCAACTTTTTTGTTTTCAAACTTATTTCCAAATAAGGAAAACCTTTTATAGATACCAAAATTACCCGCAATTCATTGAAACCCAATTCAACTTCAATTTCATGATTTACACCCCAATTTAGCCAAATTTTATCGATTAACCAATTTTAACCCTAATTTCAATTTTGACCCCAATTTTGACCCGCCGCCGCCGTTGACTGCCGGTCTCCGTCGTTGACTTTTTTTTTTTTGAAAAACTTTTTTTCCCCAATTTTTTTTTTCCGGTCGGTCAACTGCCGTTGACTGCCGGGTCTCCGGCGTTGACTTTTTATTTTTTATTTTTTATAATTTTGTTTTTTCTTAAAAAAAATATTTTAATTAATATTACTGTCTTGGCTGCTAAATTACTGTCTCCGTCAATTATTTAACTGTCGGAGACAGTAATTTAACTGTTAATTAACTTTTTTTTTCTTCGAAAATATTTTAATTAATATTACTGTTTTTGCTGCTAAATTACTTTCTCCAGCAGTTATTTAACTGTCGGAGACAATAATTTAACTGTTAATTGACTTTTTTTTTTAAATATATTAATTAATATTACTGTATTCGTTGCTAAATTACTATCTCCGATGTCTGAGACAGTAATTTTGTAACCAAGACACTAATATTAATTAAAATATTTTTTTCTAAGAAAAAAAAATAAAAAAAAAGGTCAACATCGGAGACCGGCGGTCAACACCGGGAATCTGGCCGGAAAAAAAAATTTCAGAAAAAAAATTATTTTCTGAAAAAAAAATATTTTGGGGGTTACTGTGATATATTTGTTTAAATCCGGGGTCAATGTGTAATATTAAGGAAGTTAGAGCATAATGGATGGAATTGATAAGAATTATATTATGGAGGGTATTTTAGACTAAAGACATGGGGTTGGGTTTAATTGAGAGACTGTTTTTTTTTTTTTTGCACAAAAATACATTTAAGTCCTATGTGATGGGGCTTTTTGCCATTCGCCCAAAAATAATTTGAGAGTTTATACATTTAATGTATCAAATACCTCCCCTAAACTATCAAAATCATTAAAATATCAACCTAAACTATGAAAATTATCTAATATCCCATTGATTGACTTCAATAAATTTACGTGAACGAACAAAAAAGCCCACGTTTTTTTATCCATATAATAATTTAGTAAATCTTATCTTCTACTTTGAAGATCGAAATCGTCAAAACTTATTTTATCCAAATAGATAAATTGAGTTTGCTTTGTTTTTTGGTCCATTATAAATAAGCCCATCATAAGATACTTATTCATAGTGATAAAAATATTATTTTATAAAAAAATCCACACATTATCCAGAGGTGTGTAAAAGACTAAAATACCCCCTCACATTTTAATATGCTCCAATTCCATCATTTCATTCAATATAACCTCATGACCCCATATTTTACATATTATTCAATTTTGACACAAAACTCAATTTTGAGTATAATTTCGCCCGTCGCTGCCGTTGATCGCCGGTCAACTCGGTATCCGGCATTGACTTCTTCGATTTTTTTTCTTTCTTTCTTTCTCTTTTTCTTTCTGCCGCCCGCTGACCGACGGTCAACACCAGCCTCCGGCGGCGTTGACGTTTTTTTTTATTGAATTTTTTTTCAACTTTTTTTTTGTCCCGTTTAAACAGTAATATTGCCATAATATTACTCTATAGTACAATAATATTAACACAACAAAAATCACTATTATTGTGTAATAAAGTAATATTAATATGTTAACCGTTCAACAAATGCAAACATAATAAAAAGCCAAAAAAATTAATATTGATGTGGTTGATAGTAATATTACTGTCATCCACAGTAATATTACCGTAACGACAGTAATATTACCATCAACCATAGTAATATTATTGTGTTTATAGTAGACAATAATATTATTACGTTAATCGGTCAACAAATCAAACAAAACAAAAAGACTAAAAAAAATAATGTTGATGTGCTTGAACGTAATATTATTGTGTTTACAGTAATTTTACCGTTAATGACAGTAATATAATTACGTTGACTTGTCAACAAATCAAACAAAATAAAATAAGAAAAGCAAAAAAAAAAAAATTAATATTGTTGTGGTTGACTGCTGTCAACGACAATACAATTACGTAAATGTACTCTCAACGACAGTATAATAACGTTGATGTACTTTCGGCGACTGTATAATTACTGTTCATGACCGTACAATTACGGTCAACGTTCAGCGGCGGGCGTAAAAAAATGGATAAACAATTTAGGGAAAAAAATAACAAAAGTCAACGCCGGAGTACGACGGTCAACGGCGGACACCGACGGTGGAAAATCAGGAAGAAAGAGAAAAAAAAAGTCAACGCCGGAAACCGCCGCAAAAAAAATTCTGAAAAAAGAGGTTTAAATTAAAAAAAAAAAAAAGTCAAAATTAATTTTTTGTCGTCAAAATTGATTAAATTGAAGTTAAATTGGGGTTACAATTAGGAATTGAGTTTAAAGGGTTGGGGGTTACAATTAGGAATTGAGTTTAAAACAAAAAAAATAATAATATTGTTGTGGTTGACTGTTGTCAAAGACAATACAATTACGTAAATGTACTCTCAACGACAGTATAATTACGTTGATGTAGTGTCGTCGACTGTATAATTAGTGTTAATGACCGTACAACTACGGTCAACGTTCAGCGGCGGGCGTAAAAAAATAGATAAACAATTTAGGGAAAAAAAAAAACAAAAGTCAACGTCGGAGAACGACGGTCAACGGTGGACACCGACGGTGGAAAAGCAGACATAAAGAGAAAAAAAATCAACGCCAGAAACCGCCGCAAAAAAAAATTCAGAAAAAAGAGGTTTAATTTTTTTTTAAAAAAAAGTCAAAATTGATTTTTTGTGGTCAAAATTGATTAAATTAAAGTTAAATTGGGGTTACAATTAGGAATTGAGTTTAAAGGGTTGGGGGTAATTTTGTCATATACATTAGTTTTACCTTTATTTATAATACATATTAAAGGGATGTGCTTATTGACAAAAAAAATATAACCCTTGAACCTAGAATAATAAAAATGGTTGGTGATGAGACTAAATTAGCCACATACAATAATATACGTGTTCCCTTTACTTTATTCGATAAATTATTAGATCTTGCCATAGGTTTGAATATACATACCTTGTATTGGAAAGACTATTAAATAATGTAGATAAGATAATGCATATGGAGGGTCCAGTGTATTGAATTCTTCCTTAAAATCCCATCCTTTCTCTCTACCCCTGAACTAGTATATATACTACTACATCATGGGCCTTTATTGGGCTTGTTTACATTTCCCAGGCACAAAACCGTCATCCTGTCTATTCAGCCACGTGGCTAGTTCTTATTGGTTCTTTTCACTGTCCCCAAGTCAGTTCAAGCCTATCACCCATTCTTTTCTTCCCAGAATTGTCCCCTGCACGACCCTCGAGATGCCGACGTAATGTCTCCTCCATAAGACGTGGAATCACTTCGTCAGCCTATCTCGTATGTTGTATACCTCGTTAGTTACCCCTTGCGGTCTGTTATGGTATTGGGCTTTCCTACTTAGGCCCCCGAGGTTTTTCTCCTTTGTTGGGCTTGGGCCTTTCCTCTGGGCCCAAATTAGTCCGGATCATCTGGGCTTCCTTTAATTGGGCTTGGGCCTTTCTTCAGGGCCCAAATCAGTCTGGATCATCTACTCCCCCCACTATACCTAGTTTGACGAGATATCCATAACTAGGTATAGTCTTGAAGCCTAGAGAAAAAATCTCTTGCACTTCCTCTCTACTCCCCCGAGTTCGCCGCTACTAAAAGAATTTAGTGGGGACGAACTATACGGCCCGCCCCTGATATGTCGGCACCTGTCTTTTCGCTTGCTGTCTACTTTTGCCGAAACCTTGCAATCATCACTTTTCTCGGAATTCGCGTAAGCACGTGGATCGAGGGCAGAGGAATTAAATACGATGATGTCACACTTGTCCATGTGTCTGCACCCTTATGGTGACTGTTGATATGCCCGAGGTTCTGGGGGATGTGAAACGGTTGTGGAATCGTGGTCGTTCTTTAATTTGAAATGAACGGCCAGATTTCCTTCTTTTGAGTAGAGTGAGAAATGCAGTCTATATATACATCCTAAATAGGTTTTTTTCAATTTTTCGTTTGCCTCTTCTTCCCCATATTGCCTTTCTTCTGTTGCCAACGAATTGCCAGATCTGTTCAATCTTCATCGTTTTTGCTTCCATCTTTTCTGACGGCACGTGGACGTCCATTCCCGGATTATCCTCTAGCTTCGCCGGAGGCCATTCTTGCATGTGACTCTCTCATATTTCTTTTTGTTTCCTTATCAACAAAGATACCCCATTTGTAGG